AAGGCTTGTTTTGTGAACATAAGTGATAATCTATGAAAAATTACCAGGAAATCTTAAGGATGAAGGTCATTTTTATTTAGATGATATCGAGGACAATCATTGAGGACAAAGATGAATCAAGTCCCAATATTTTGGTCCATGTTTGAAAATAATGTACTGATTGAAACAAAATAATTGCTAAATTGTAGAGGGAAATAGATATCGTACTTATTCTTAAGGTTTTTAAAGGGACAGATTCGCAATTTTAGCAGGTTTATTTTGATCTTGAATATACGTTATTAGTCTTCTAGTACTAGAAATGTACGAAAATTACATCTAAGAATTTAACTTTCTATATATTCCTATTTATGAGTCGACTTTTTTAGCTTTCAAACGCGGAGAATTGTGGTCAAACATGGATTTGAAGAAAATTAAGAGGGCGAGCTGTGAACCTATTTTGACTCCAAATCGGTCAATAAGTATAAGAACCTTATCATTGGTCAAGCAAATAACCCCCACACATTCACTAATTAATAGCATTGTAAGGTTTGGGGACAAACGCGATTAGAGGTGACGCAAGTATTTATATCCGTTTAAAAGATTGCCTTAATAACGAGGGTTTGATGTCTTCTGGTATTACACAAATAAATCAGATTCCAATCGATGAAAATAAATAGAGACTATACACATGGCTGAACATTGAAGTAAAATTGTTGAAATAGTTTTTGTTTCTAAAGGATGTGAATGTCTAGAGGATAATCGTATGAATTGTAATGTTTGAAACAAAGGTCATGTAGACACATTTAATTTGTCGCCAAGGCAAAACTACATAAAACAGTCGATCAACAAGTGATGGACAAACAATACAGACGTCAATGATACATAACGTAAAAGATATCCCTTCGGAAAAAGAATGCTATAACAATTTTACTGGAAACCCACATACTTCCATTTTTACTCAGCGCTTGAAAATAGTTCTCGTAAATACCTATTTAAATTTCGTTTCCTGTTTAGCGATATTAAATAGAGTAAGTGATAACAACCATTCACACAAAATTTTATCAAAATCCACCAAGAAACCAGCTCTGCACTGTGTCCGCGACAAATTTTCAAGAACAAGGCAATAACTCGTATAAAATATTTTTCGATTTGTCTGGAATTTCAATAGGGTTTATCCTTAGGTGTTAACAAACACACTAATTTTTATCAAAATCCATCAAGAAACCAGTTCTCTATTATGTCCACAACATTTGTGGACGGGGGCAACGACTTTAAATCGCCCAAATTAATGTTTGGGCGTATAAAATGCATAACGAACTTAAAACGTTCACGCAAGCCCTTTTAACAGTTTTGGCGTTAGAAATTTAACGACAGAATGTTTTTTAGCTAAAACTGTCAGATAAGTACAGTGTTCATAAATTTGAGCAAACAAAAAAATCTTTCGACTTAATGCGAAAACATAATAATGCCCCTTACAATCCTTACAATGTTTATGTAAGTTAAGCACCTTTTTCGGTTATTTTTTTTAAATTCTTATTGATGACATTTCCGCCTACGTGTGTTAATACTGATCTGGTATACGTGACTTGAAAACAATTGTTTATCGAAACCATTGATTCTAATGACAATAGTCCGTTTGTCTTATATAAGATACTTAGAAGCAGTAATTGTCTTGATTTTAAGGGACACATTTCTTAATTGAGTGTTGAAATTATAAATGCCTGGAGACACTGACATGTTTCCGTTTTTTTTCGCTTGGAAACATTGGGTGCGCAAATATGATTTGGTATACAGACGCAATTTGGTTAGAAAAATGATCTACAAATAACTAAACCAAGTACCAACGATTGGAAACGCAAAACGAAACCGAAATCCAAAAGCAACATTTTCGCGAAGCAATGATAGCAGATAATGAAGGGAGGGAACCGATTTGTAAGTAAACGCCCGAAACCATGAAACTATGCTAATTTTTGGAAAATGGTAGGAAAACTCTCGTAATGATTCTGAACAGACCCAATTATAACAGATCCCGAATGCAAAAATTCGAAGTTAAATTTCACGACAGATGCAAGATCGTCGCTGCCCTTTACTTCCTGTGTATGCAACTTAGGATACGCCACGAAACTGAAAAACTGCGCGGACAATAGGACTTTTTTGATTAAGAAGAAGAAAGAGTTTGACTTTCCCACATATAAGCTTTTATACGCCTTAGTGATTACAAATACTTAGAGAGAGGCTGCCTGATGGTCTTGCTTTGTTTGACGTTTGTTTTTCCATTAATCTTCGATACATTACAAAGAATGAGGAAGTAGTTAAAATGATGGTTAGTTCTGAATTGATTAATTTTTAGTATGCTATGAACTAGGTTATTAATTAAGTTCTTAATTTGTGAATCCGCGACTTCAGTGTGTATTGAAGAAAAGGAAGAGTTTACAGTTTGTATTGAGGAAAAGGAATAGTGTACTATGTAAATGGGTCAGGAGTCAGTCCAATTAGATGAAAACTAGTGCATCCGGAATTTCGAGACATTTACTAACTTGACTTCAGTAGACCAAAAATAAGAAAATCCAGTTCTAAATAAATCGATAGAATATAATCGCTTTTTCTAAAATGCTTTTATTGCAAATAAATTGACGATTTGTAAAGTTATTGTGTTCAAGTAGAAGTAACAATGTTGAATTGATAAATTAAGAGTTACGTGATAACTAGGTTTTTTCTATGCCCTAGACATTTGTTTCAGAACACAAAGACAAAGATGACATAAATCTCTCTGAACAGCCATTAGTCTAAATATTATTCCATATAAATCCAGACTAGCAGTAAACTACTTTCTTGTTTGATTTGTTAGATAGTAAGGAAAGCGTGATGTTTTGCAGAACATAAAAAGTTAGTAGGGTTTGAGAATAAATTCTAATTGCGGAAGTTCTGTGTCTGTATCCAGCCATGTTGTCAGATCCCTCGTAACTTGCTTCTCTATTATCTAATAAACCTTTCAAATTGGTACAGGGTTCGGATTGGCTGTATTTGCTATTCATGCAAATACAAACATCTGTGAAAAGTGTCAAGGTATTAGAAATAATCGTAATACCCTGATATTGTGTTGTTCGTATTGTTCATGAACGATTATCATAGAATACCTTTTAATGAGTGTCAACGAAATGTTTGAACTGCAACCAATATTATTACGAACATAACTTTTATTGAAGAGACTTTGACATTCATTAGTAGTTGATCAAACAACGTATTCATATTTTCATTTTCTTTTCATCTATTCACATCTATAATATAAATATTTTTTTTTAGAAACGTAATCAAAGGTAAAGCATTTTTCCGCTTGGTGAAAAACTCAAATTCACATTTTTGAAAAATTCTGAATGAAAATACTTTGTACATGTGACATTTTTTAACGCCAATATGCTTTTAATATCCAAAATGTTCGTGTTGCTTCAAAGCGAGTTACAAATAAGGCAGTGGTTATTGTCACTGTTGACTTTCCCCAGAGCTCACTTTGCTTTTAACCCACTTCCCAAACAGCTATATTGAATATTTCATTTGACGTACATGTCGATAGAATTGGTTTAAGGATGGAAGTCAATCTCGATAGCAATGGCTTGATAATGTACATAAAAGTCGATAGCGAAAGGTCATTGTAATGTGCATATTGATAGCAAAATGTGGCTTTAATTTTGAAGCACACGTATAGTCGTTAGTTAAAAGTGAATTTAAATATAAACAGCACAAAATGCATTTAGATTTGACCAAATGTAAAAAGCAAAAGGTGGAATTGGATTTTAAGCGCACGCCAATAAGACAACCCCGAATTAGATTTGAGGCGATAGCAGAAGGTTGATGGACTAGATGGACAAGTTTACAGTATAAATAGATTTGAGATAAGAAGGTATCAAAAGTGGCAAAATATGGTTGTTAGAACTTTAACACAACATCGATAGATTAAATATAGTCCTATAGATTTGAAGTCGAAGCTTGATTTTTATAGTTTGCAAAGGTTTTTAGACGCACATACTATTTAAAGCTTGAAGCTCATGCAGATGGTTAATGAAAGTGTCGAATTTATAATAGATAGAATGTCACAACAGCTTGACGTCCATAGCGCATTAAATCACTGAAAATAAAATTAAATATTATTGAAATTGAATAATTGACCGTTATAAATACATTACTAAATGAACTGGAATAATTAATTTGACTAATATGCGATGAATGGTAATTAGACTATCTCTTATTTAGCATACAGCACACTGATTAGTTCGACCGGCCATTTTTAACTGTGCATCATGGATGTCCTTGAAATGAAGGTAAGTAAGCTTTTGGATCATAAAAAATTAGTCTAACATCTACTATTGATTCTGTTTAAAATAATAATCCGTACAAGCAAGACAAATCCGTTATTCAAAATCTCGTCCAAAGAATGGTAGACAAAGTTGTATAGTAGTGGACTCCTCCGAAGAGAAGTATCATCAACATCATGAATTTTGTGTTGTGATAAGATTTTTGCTTTAAACTTGTACGCAAATGCCTATCGAAAAGAAACTTTAACATTTTCCACCTCGTAACATTCTTTCTTCAACCAGCTTTGTTAGATTTCTGTAATTGTCAATACACCAAAGACTTAACAATAATAACAGTTGAAAGTAATTGTCCACTAGTTACTATCTAAAAATACAAAAGTCTTGCAAAGCCACAAAATCATCTTTTGTCTTGATTTTGAATTTTACCTCATAAGCATGTCTTTAGAAATAAAGGAATATGCCCTAGGTGGAGGATAAATTTTTAATAAAAATCTTAACAATGAGTTTTGTTCATCATGTTTAACCTTTAAGGAGAGAAAGTAATTATTTGTAAGTCTGTGCAAAATAAAAAAACCCTTAAGAAAGCACTTTGTGTTGAACTATAAATTCTAACGATTTGCGCCCAAAGAAAAATTATATCGTATCTTGTCAATAATTGGACCCATATTTTCAAGTTTTAACTACTGATTTTTCCAGGTTAGTGTTTTGTTGATGTGGATTGCATTTTCAATAAGTGCATACTACATAATCCAATGGTGCATCAGTAAGATAAAGATATGCAACGTCCAGGACAAATATGTATTGATAACGGGTTGTGATAGTGGGTTTGGTAAGGCAACTGCTATACGATTACATTCAGTTGGGTTCAATGTAATCGCTGCCTGCTTGACCAAGGAAGGAGCGGATTATTTGACAAAGACCTGCTCTACAAAGTTGCGAACGATACTCCTGAACGTGACATCGGAAGACGATATAAAGAAAGCAGTCAAAACAGTAAAAGAGATAATTCCATTAAATAAAGGTAATATAAACTCCACACTGGTACATGGTGGACCTCATTCCTCATAAATCCCTTATATAATATAGGGTACAGGCTTTTTTTAGGCCTGTTTTTGCAAAAATAAAATGAGATTAAAATTTCCATAGCTCATCTGGAACATAAACCAGACAATGTCATGCAGTAGGCGATGTCTGACATTTTTCAATTTTCTCGTACACAGCCTCGATTTATTGGTCTTCGAACGCATTTCCATTAAAGTCTCAAAATTGTTGCCACAAAGGGAAACCCGGAATGAATGAACAGTACACCCATAACTGATAACATAGTCGAAACTCCGGGTTTAGCGTACAAAAGTCAAACCATATGATGGCATAATGTTAATGAAAGACATACAACCAATTTACCACTATACACCTCTTGCCTAATCCAAATAACTTACGTGATATGAATTTGCATTATGAGCTTATTTATTTCAGGATTGTGGGCATTGGTTAATAATGCCGGTGTAAGCGGACTGGTGGGCCTTTTTGAAACGACAACAAGGAAAGATTTTCTGGACTGCTACAAAGTGAATCTCTTTGGTTTGATAGACGTAACCAGATCATTTTTACCACTACTCCGGAAGGGACAAGGTCGCGTAGTAAATCTCAGTAGTATCACTGGTCGATTTTCACAAATCCCTATAATTTATTCAACCGGTAAATACGCTTTGGAAGGATTTTCAGATTGTTTACGGTAAGAGATGATGTTATTTAATATGAGTTGAGTTGGTTCTTTTTTCATGAACTATTGCAGTGACAGAATAACATCATCATTTAAGGAGTGAATGAGGATTTGCATGGCTTTTGTTTCTCAAGTTTGCGAAAGCGCAAAGCTGTGACATCCAACTTTAAATGTGATTACTCTAGTCTAGAATTTCAATAAATATGCTCGCTTTATTTTACAGAAGAGAAGTATATTCCCATGGTGTTTCTGTATATATAATAGAACCCGGTTTTTATAATACTGGTATACTTACGATAGAAAGAAGTTTGGGTGGGCTAAAGAATGCATTTTACAAATCGAGATCAGAAATACAAGAATATTATGGTCAAAAATTCCTTAAAAAGTGTAAGTATACAACTTCGTTTTGATACATTTGTGATGTGGGAATATAAGTGCATCTGAAGTAATCAACAATCATAAAGTAGGCTCTTATTTTCGAATATAGGCTTTGTATTGATACTACCCATGCTTGGAAATCTTTTAACAAATGACATGAGTGTGTGTGAAATTGTCCAATACTTACAAACCTCATGTATTCTGAGAATCAATATAAACGAAGGGAAATAACTTTATTGAAGCCTGTGCACTGTTTAGACCAAATTAAGGTATAACTACTATATAGTGCCCAGTATATGACAATCTCGACCACGAAGTTCCAATGGGGCTGCGAACACCTAGTTTGAACAGACTTGGGTACGAAAGTATCCAATGTAGCAATTGATTGGTAAATACCAAGTGCACCTGATTAAAAAAAAAAAATTTTGAAAACTTAACCTGAATTTATTTCTTTATCACTTCGACCTATTTTCTATCTTACAGTATGTGATTATATGTCATGGGAATTGAACAGAGCTACATCTGATATCGAACCAGTCATCAGAGATATACAACGTGCTGTTAGCGCCAAATATCCCCAGTATCGTTATCTATCAGGCTTGGATGCTCAATTCAAATTCAGATTTATGTGGACTATTCCAACGTGGCTTAGCGATTTTCTTTACAATGTTATTTTTCCGAGTCCAGATAAAGCAACTTGGAAAATACGATGACAACTCGGGTGCATGAGTGTTTTTTGCCTTGAATAAATTTTAGTTTCAGAAGAATTAAATGGGTAATGTCGATGTGCCCTAAAACGGCCATATTTGCGTGCATTATATAGCCATTTCATTTCATTTATTCTTTTTGAATTTATTTACTATTTGAGCATTGAATAAAACGTTTTCAAATATATGCTTGGTTCACATGTACTATGTTTGAACCTGAAACACAATTTATGAATAATTTCATTTTCCCATCAATTTTGAAAATCCCACAAAACATTACTGTCGTTCCTGACCTACTAATGTATCTGATAATGAAGAGTTAGGTCAATATAACATGACGGTAATATTACAATTTTGGTGCATAGAAATAACTATTCGAACAAATGATTTAAATATTTAGTTAATACTATCGAATTCCGATTACGTCTAGTCGATGCATTGATTCGCCATTTAATCCCTTTCAAACAGAGATGTAAGTCAATGTAACATTTATATCTAGAGCACTGCTTCATTTTTTTCATCTCAAATGTCACCTACATGAATGTACTTAAATAGTATTTTCTAAACATCTGAAACTTCTTAAGAAGGCTTATGTGTTTAACCGGTATTTTTTTCCAAATACCGGCAAGGGCCTGACATGGAAAAATCGTTAGGTCATTCGGATTGAATAAACCAAGACCTGTATTTGCACATTAAAAGATCTCTCGACAGTTGTTAATCGAAAATGAGAAGAATTATCTCGCTGTCCCTGCCAAATTTGCATACTGCAATACACTGCGCCTTTTAATTTGCTCAATTAGGCGGTGTTAAAGGAAGGATTTCATTTCACTCCTTTCTTTTCAAATTAAGAACTCGAACATAATATTCTTCATTACATTATCTTTGCTGTCCTCTCCCTTTTCTAAAAAAAGCAGCCACCCGTTTTACTTTCTAGAATATAAAATTACGAAGCTCTTCATATTCATAATCAATACAAACAAAATGTTACTTTTTTTTCATCTTACTTAAAAATATTCCGAGCAGGAAATGGCTTTATATTGTAGAACGTTATTGCAGACTGATTCAACTTCTGAATTCCTTTCTGACAAGTGATGCTGATAAAGCTTTTGTTTGAACTCATGCATGAACTGTTGTTTGTATTGGAAATATTGAATTATGTGCGACACAGTACAAAATAATACAGGGCATTCAAATAAGGGTATAATCATTAGTAAAATAAGAAGAATCAATTTCTGGAATGGATAAGTCACTGACATGGACATCACTAAGAGTATTTATTGATGAAGAACTCAGTTGAGTTAAATTTGGCAAGGACAGAAACTCAGCTGACTTATACAACTGTGTGAGATTATCTTCCGGACAATTCCAAAATGATCTTTCATCAATTTCGTTCTGAGGAGCGTTATGTGCTTCAGAAACGATATTACTTGTAGATTTTGACTTGGTCAGGCTGTCAAAGGTCAATTGTTGAGAATCTTCCAAGAGATTGAGCAAATCGTCAGTCTGCGAATACTTAAAACCGTATGAATAGTGATATTGGTCCTTGCCAAGATCATTACCACAATTGGGTACTAGATTGGTGTATATCTGATTTAGGCTGTCGAGTTCTTGAACAACTGAAGATGTCGTGTTGACAGGTCTAAAAACATCGAAATCATTTGGCGACCCTCTCTGGTACAACTGCTTATATGTTGCAAGACTTTCACAGTTTTTTGCGAACATATGTTCCTTTGGTGCCTGGGTTGCCATAGTCGAATGTGGATTATAATGGACTCTTTGTCTAGGAAGTGGCCAGGCATCGTAATCTTGCATATTGATCCTTTCAATTGGATGTGCTGGACTTCGTGATAATGAGGACAAAGATCGTGTCGGAAGGGTCCGCTTTTGTGACGAATTGTGTAGATCATTACTGACCTCATTTAGCTTGGATGGACTAAGTTCACCAGAAGCTTTGCAACTATGAAGAAGTGGTGTCATATTGGTGATATCGGGCGATACAATTCCTGACAGCTTATCTGCAGAACACTGCTGCTTTTCCATCGACGCTGAAGCACTTTTTTGGGTCTCTCCATCAAAGGTTGATATCCACTGGTCTTTTTCTATTGGTTTTGGAGAATGACGTTTGACATTATTTAGAAGTGTATGTACCCAATCCTCATAAGCTGCGTTTATAGAATTTTGTTTTTGAAATTTCTGTGACTTTCTTGGACGCCCGATTTTTACTGCTGTAACATAAATTGCAAAAAATAAAATTTCAGACTTTTAACACATTGAACGTCATTCTGGAAGGTAAGTTAATCATATCGCCTACTTCAGTCTGTTTTGTTACAAAGTACAACAAAAAATAATGATTTCGTACTTTTCAAGAACAATGTTATTTTGACCAATGAGATATTTTTCTACTGAAGGAATATGGGTTACATCGACAGGCAAGCTTTCCGTCCATTTTTTATTTTTGAAAAAGCCATTATATTTATTTCTATTAACAAAAATTAACAGTTCGACTCACCACTTTTCGACATGCCTACTTGAAGACATTTTAAGTATCGACATAATCGACACCGATTTCTTGTCTTTGGATTGATTTTACATCTTCTCTCATTTACACAAATTAATTTAGAACTTTCTAATAAGCAACGTCGAAAGAATTTCTGAAACGGTAGAATAGGGATAATTTTTTAAAAGAAATGCTCAATCGATAAAATCGTTTCTTTAGCAAGTCCAGTACTATAATAATGTCTTTACCTTGTATTAGAGGCAATACAATTTAAGATGTCAGGTATTTCTTTAACCGGCCTATCAACAGGCTTCTAAATATACTTTGTTTTGTAAAGGGTAAACTCCTTCGTGAGAAAAAGTTCGTTAGATTGATCCATTTCACAGTTATATGGAGTAAAATGAACCACTGTACCATCTCGCCATTGACGATTTGACCTACGATGTTAATGGAATAAGTGATAACAGAAGAACGGGTACATCTGTTTTTAGAATCTGCTTTTTAATCAGTACATTTTACTCATGGAATTGTCATGCAATGTCTACCTATCACAAGATTGTCATTGTATTTAATTTATGAAGTAGTGTCACATAATGCCTGTCATTCAAACAACTTCAATATTTTTAGTAGGGTTGGGGATAAATATGTAGGAGCATCTTCATGTAGGATGCTCATTCTCTTGCCAAAGTAAATCACCATAGTATTCGTTGATAAACAGACGTATTTCCAGAAGACGATTTAAGCTAGTCGATCCTAACAAAAATTAATTGTTATCATGAAAAAAAAAACAAAAAAAACGTAGTACCTTGCAACCCTCACAGGTACCGACACCAAAATGAATTCCATTAGATAAATCCCCACAGACCATACATAAAGATTCGTCAAATGCAAACATGTACCGTTCTGGCTTCTCTAAAGAAAACATTACTTATTAAAAAAAAATTACTTATGAAATATGTAATGGCGATTTTAAGCGTTTGTATAATTTATGTTCGATTTAATTTTGGTAGAAACAGTATGCTGTCGATCTACCATTGCGCAAAGTAATGTCGTAACCGTCTGAAATAGTATGTCCACAAGCAAGCACATTGAAACACTATATCAATGGAGAACAAGTGAGTGTGGGAACTGACACTGATTTTGTTTTTACAAAACTTTTAAAATGTGCCATTTACTTGGTTAAGTAATCTGTAATTGTCACAATGGATCTCACTGGATTCGAATTCGTATGATCTGTCCTTGTTGATCATGAAGTAAATATAGCTGCAGAGGACTACGCTTGAAACAATGACAGTTTTATATGGCCAGATTTTGTCTTAATATATATGTCTTAATGTAATAAACAAAGGAATATGTCTTTGATCAGGGAAGTTCAACGTACCACGAGGTTTCATCCCAACTTTGAGACATTGTTGATATCGACAATATTGACAGCGGATTCTGTTTTCACCAGTTATATCACATTGTCCACGGCACTTACTGTAGATAACATCTTCTTTACTACATCGAATATAAAAACTCTGCAAGAAAAAATATTATAATTTTATCTTACCAACTAATGCATCTGGGAGCACTTGATACTTAGTAAAAAATAATTAACTGAAACTAATGCATGTAAAAGTAAATGAAACCGCGTTTGGAACAAATTAAAATACAACCCTGCATGAAACGTAGGAAGAATTTTAACTTTCCAACTAATGCATTTCAGAGCACTTGAACAGGATACTTAGTCAGAAGTGACATTACTAAAACATGGAACGAGTAACGTAAAACACTAATTTAAATATGACTAATTAGAAATAAATAAAATTGTGTCGAACTAATATAAATACGAGTAATGGTATCTATATAACACGTATGGCACCTTGTGCACTATACAAACTAGTTCTGACAATTTCAGAACACTACGTCATAACATCTATTAAAGTGGGAAACACACGTACCTTACATGGAAGACAAACTAAGGCACCGAAATTATACCCGTGAGCAGGTTCCTTACAAACCACACATTCGGCCTGAGGCTTTGGATTACTTTTCTTATTCAACTCCCCTAAAATAACGGATTTATCATAAATAATGAATTACAGCGAATAAGTAAATATTCGGCCTTAGGCTTTGGATTACTTTTCTTATTCAACTTCCCTAAAATAAGATTTATCATAAATAATGAATTACTGCGAATAAATAAATTCTGAATTTATTCTAAATGGTAATAGTATCTAGTATTTTAGTTGGTATTTTTTTGCTCAAAGTCATTCTTAGACTATAGTACCAGCTGATATTCAAATTTATAACTTTTAAACTTCAATTGAATTGTGATCATATACTTATTTTTATATATTTGCATTATATAATGATTTCCAGAAGTCGAAGGTCTTGGAAAACTCAACAAAGGTCATGCGACATCATCCATTTGGATTCGGAGCTTAAGCAATATCATATTTGTTTGTTTTGGGAAAGAATAAAAACAAATTGAGCCGAAATAAAGTTCGAGATCAGGACGAGATCCTAGTACATAATGGCGGCACATGTGACTAGAAAATAAATATTGAAGATATATCTCCGGACAAAGCTAAATCAACAAGCAATAAATAATGAAATCCTTACATGGAATGTCGTCGTTTGATGCCATCCAGTTCTTTAATCACAAACCCGTTACTTAACTTAACATAATATCTTAGATATGCGTATCAACAGATCAAGGAAAAGACATGGCACATGATAGAAAAAATATACATAAAAAATATGAACTAAGACCTAATTTTCTTTAACATATTCATTATCGTAGTAGTGACGCAAAGTCAGGGTTCTTATCTTACTCGGCGTGGGACTGTTCGAGTTTCGGTTCAAACTGTTCTCAACCAGATTATCAATAAAGGTGTATAAACTGCTTTTTACAACTGCCTGTTATACATAAACATATCTAACAATTATTATTAGCTTACGTGGAAAACTGAAACAAACCCAGTCTCACAGTCGGCTTCGATTTCGTCTTTCGTCTTATAGTCAATATTATGGAAGCGAGGAATGGAAGCATCACATTATTTTACATGTATCAACGCCGTTAAAATTAACTTGTTGTGAATGCATAGAAATATCTTTTTATGTGAATACGAACCAAACGTAGGATTATCATGATTAAAATTTCTTAATATTAACTTAAGTCATGCATAGATGCCACAGAACAAAATGGAACCACTATTGTTATTCACAAGGTAAATCACATGTATGGTTGTAAAGACGGTTTTACAAAATAAAATCTTACAGTTGAGAGGGATTACAATGTGTTCTATTCTCTTTCTTTTTATTACATTTGACGTGCACTTATCATAAATACATCAAATCGCCAGCAAATGATAGTGTTTGTTATGAGGTTATCCTGCTATAATGCAAGGGGTATAAGAAACTGTCGATTTGTTTTGCCAACAATAAGTCAAATATCATAATCTGCGCTACAAGCTCCAGACATCATTTGAAATATTATGTACAACCACAGTTACCATGACCCACTGGAGTGCAATAAATTTTAATTCAACAATTTTACGACGTATTCATGAAAGCGTATTTAATGCAAGTGGTACACTGAAAAAATTCAAAGCCTCGAGGAAATGTGTTTAAAATCGTTATGTAAAATAATCTCGACCTAGTTTCGTTGCATATATTTTTTAAATAATAATCATTTACATGGTTTAACGTGACAAACTAAGATTAGGCTTAAGATAATATTAGGTTGACACTATGTTAATGGTGACTACTGCAATCGCGTTTCCAGCCTCCGTAGATAAATATGATGGACGTTTCGAGGTGACAGAACTTAATTTAAAACTGTCAACGTTTGGCCACGTCAGCCATGTCGGATGCGTGACGAGTAAGCCATGGCAATAATGGGTGAGCATTAGTATTACTTTTTAGTCCACCGACCGTAACAGAACTTGTCGACATCTCCACTCAGCACAGCCTCCTGTGGACCCGATCAGCCTGCCAAGTTTTGTCATCCCATCAGTGTTGTCTTCATCGGTATTATCGAAGTTTAATTAAGGGAAATAACTCATCGAAAAAAAAATAATGGTAATCTATCTCGCCATTTAAGTCATAAGCATACACAGTTTCGTCTAGTTTCTATCGGACAAATTTACTGGAGTGACAACATACACCATGTTATATTGTATGCATAAAAGGTTGCACTCGTATGACACCGCTTGCAGAATTAGCTTGATGTGATCTGCCTCCGTAAGCCCAGTCGAGGAAAAGAAGGTAGTAAGCCGCTATTTGAAAATATTGAACACCAAGAACCTTTTACATCTGTACTATTAGGGACCAACGAGTGCTTTTAATGTTATGCATTCCCTAATTTGGTAGCAATTTGGTTATAACAATTTTCCCCAAATTCACCAAATACCTACATCTAACAAGTTTTCAAGAAACATCACAGCTGTAATGCGGGGATTAGGCACAATGGTTTCGATAACCTGACTTACAAAAACCGAAAGCTGTGTCCAATAAATAGATTACAATCGCAATTGTTTTCAGTTAATTCCCGAACAATAATAAATCGAAGAAAATGAGACATATTATTGAGGAAAATTGAGTCTATTGAATAACTTACCATGAAAAGGACAACCCGACTCACATTATGCTTGTTAAAGGGACAGTTGTGCCACTTTGATTTGAGTGTTGAATATATGTAAATAGTCTTCAGAAGTACTAGAAATTTAAGAAAATTTCCTTTAACAATACTTCAAACTAGAAATTTTACTCACTATTTCTATATGTCACAGAGTATCTTAAAAAGTCCTCATTTTAACATTCACACGCGGATAATTCCGGATACATATTAAAGATTCAAATTTCGACGCTAATACTGATTTGATTGACATAGCTAATACATTTCCGTTTCTGAGACTAGGGTTCGATTGGTCAAAAAATCACGTGACCGGTGCAAATTGTAATGTTATATTGCACTTATGTTGCTGTCCCTTCAAAGTGGAAAATGCTTTAGTCCAGTCGGTCATTTCTTGTTGAAAACTCTAAGTAACATTAATTGCATTTATCGCTATAACACGAATTACTTTAGTAAGGGTACTACCTAAATATTGTGCTGAAAAAAATAGCATTCTATTTAGCACAGATATAATATTCTACATCCCCATATTAAACTTTTGTTTTTCTAAATGCAGGGATAAAGTCACGGTGTACAATTTTTTTATTTATGCTTTTATTTTCCATTTACTTGAAAAGGCCATGTGTAGACGGCGGATGTGAGTGGATTGGCTCGCACCAGTACGATACTTTTAGCTAGAATTACATACAGAACGAATTGGCATGAAGCAAGCAGAACCAGGATACGATCTCTACGATATAACAGACAAATATGCGATCACTAAACTCCCTCATTCAGTCGGATCCTTTAATGCACCAAAGGTGTTTGCTTCTTTTTATAAAATTATTTCTGAATTAAATTTTATGGGTTTATTCAAGATATTTTAATGGAATAAATCTATTTAAGTCGCCAAGATCAATACAAATCACATTGACACTATCACATTATGTTAAGTCTGATAAAGTCCGCCCCCTTTACAAAGAATTGATTTTTTTGCTAATATCTAGTGCATCGTGACATGCCACAGATGCAAAAGCTCGTAAATGAGGGCATATTCTTCAGTTCGTAAGGACTCGGATATCGAACTAGTTCAAGCGTGATTTCTAGCTTTCTGATTGGTTTCTAGGCATGCCGTTTTGGTATAAATATAGGCATAGTCTGCGATGTTATTCCAATATCAAATCACCTGATAATCAAGATGATCAAGATACTTTTGGTGAGTAATAAATCTATTAACAGTTTGTGCCTGCTTTTCTGCTTTAAGATTAAATTATTTAAATGATTGTTTCGACCAACTGGAATCCTAGTTTATGTTTTGGAGATTTTGTTGATATTTCGGTTTATCAGAGCAACGACTGTTTATCTCTTTGATTTTCGAATACTGTAAAATATTTCAAAATTCTAACAACGAATTCTGTCTTTTTACAGATAGCCGCTCTCGTTGTGGCTTGCAATGCCCTATCTAAAGTTCAAGTTAGCCCCATATGTACCAGCAAAGCTCCAGTTGAAGCATTAGCTGCACCAGCAGCAGCAAGGTCTTCTAAGGCAAAACTAACAGAGGAAGAGGCTGTAAAACTTCTGGGTGTGAATAGCGTGGGTGGAGCTAAAGTGTAAGTCATTTCTTGCAGTATTCGGTACGGGTTTTATGTTGGTACCAAAATACAACTTTAGAAAACGACTTTTTGACAAATGCATGTCTTAATTGTCGGTGCAGAATATTCGAGAGATACAATTGAGTCTCAAATTTCTATATAACAGATACGTTTGCTGGAGTTAAATTAAATGTGGATTGAATCTATTCACTAACTTAGCTTTTAACCTTACAGAAAAAGATCTGCTGTAAAAGGAGCTGCCGAAGCAAGAGCTGCACTAAGTAAAGCTTCCGGAAGTATTATTCTTCCCATACCGTGGAAACCTAAGTTAGTTCAAAGTTTTAAATAAATGTTATATATTTTGAAAGAGAACCATGTTCTCTGACCAATAGACTATTTTATTTTTGCCATTTTTCATTTCTGTAATTTACTGCCATTCATTGGATATAAATTTCAAAGAAATGTCAATGTGTCAAAACCATTCAATCCTTCACACGTTCACGTTGTCAAACAGGTTACTTTTAAGTTGGATATTTAACATAATATATACCTCGATCACAGCCTTCTTTACGAACTATTTTCTTATTTTATTTCAATTCTTTTGATAAACATTTTACAAAAGTCCAAAAACCATACAGCTAATGTGTACGTAAATTTAAGTATGACAGTTGACCCCAATAGTCTTGCTGGAATTTTCTTATTATCAACAAAAAATGTTAAATTTTAGTTCCACGTAGGATAGTTTAGTTAGCAGACTTTATGAAACAAACTGAGGGTGAACAATCAATGATTGATCACTGATTCTATTACAGTCCATGTCCACCATTGCTGACAACTACATTCGCTGGACAAGATTTATGTCCATCCTATTCACAACTTTTGACACAGTTTCCGAGTTCAAACGGAAATGGTTATTGTTATGTTCTTTACCCCAAGTGGCAACGTATTTATGAAACTTTCTGCAAGTAAGTGGCTTTAACGAATAATTTAATTTTCGAAATACAATATTTGTGCGTCATTCAAAAACTATTAATGAGATAGGCAAAGCAACATAGTTATGGACGAAACGTGAGTATTTGAAAGCGGCCACGGCAACGGCATTACCTTAGTCGACGTGATCAAAATGAACCACATACAAATTTCTACCTACTGCATCTATGATATTAATATATACTCATAATACTGCACTATTTTTATACTGTGCTTTCAGATGCAAAGCCTGCAGAAACAGCTGCCCTTTTAGCATTTTCACTAAACCAGGTTCTATAAGATTCAGGAATTACTGTAAACCAAAATACCGACGAACACGATACGTTTGGGCAATATGTATAAGCAAAAACCACTTCCAATGCCTCCGTGAACGAGTAACTTATTCTTCTGGTGGTTGCGAATGCCGAGCCTACAGAACCTGTTAAAGATAAACGCACTCTGGCGTGACTGGTAGAGATTTAATTCATTTTCAATTAATTCCGAATCATTGCTGTTTAACCTGAAATCGTTCTAAAATATATGTATTTTTTTATTCTTAGTATCGTGTTGGTATGTAAATCAACTTTAAACGTATTCGCCGATTTTTGCGATTGATATGTTACATTTAAATTTGCCTAATAAACAGTCTTAAATCTCAAACAATCTCTTACATTGATGGGGTATTGGTGAAAGGAATTTCTTTCAACAAGGGCGTAGCACATTAGAGCTGAAATTACCAAAACATAACACTTTATTTATGCTTTTCATGCATATGGCAATTCAACACTGGGTGAATCATCCATTTAGATGCCTTCCCTCCTGTTTGTACATGGTTGTCTTTATCAGTGACGCAGATGACCTGTAAAAATAGCACCGAAAAGCGTCCAGTCGGTCGGGACTACAAACCGATGGGACATTAAATATTCCTTAAATATGAACTCGCAAAATATATGAGGCCAATGAGTCTGTCCTTTCAATATGCTCTTGTTTCGAATAACATGGTAAATGTCTGTTATCAAAAAGTGTTTGACGATTTCCTGTGTCAAGATTCCTGTTGAAAGAAATAAAACTGTGATGTATTCGATCACTTATACGAATATCACCTTGGAGGAACTGGGTAGAGTCAGATTTGTTGGGCTAAACCACAGCATGAGATGAGCGTAAATTATATAAAAAAAATATGTAATCCAGCGTTATGTGAATCAAAACAAATTAAGTCCAGATTAGATCACACTCGTTTATCATGACAAGAGATGGACTCCAGACCAGCTAAAAGTTGATAGTATACCAATTAAGTCCATAGATGTTAGAATCCAGTTCTTATATATCATCCGAATATCACCTTGGAGGAACTGGGTAGAGCCAGATTTGTTGGGCTAAACCGCAGCATGAGATGAGCGTAAGTTATTTCAGAAAATATGTAAAGTGCATTTATAAGACTAAGATACACCGTTATGTGAATCAAAACAAATTAAGTCCAGATTAGATCACACTCGTTTATCATGACAAGAGATGAACTCCAGACCAGCTAGAAGTTGATAGTATACCAATTAAGTCAATGATGTTACAATTTTAACATGTACAGACCCGTAGTCCCAAGTATGTAACGCGAGTTTTGTCCCTTGTCTTGTTCTTTCTGTTGAACAATAATAATCCATTCCCTTTTCTTTTCGTATTTTTTTGAATAAAATATTGTTTCAAAAAATAAGATAAAAAGTTATAAAACTAAGAGGGAACAAGTTTATCTAAAATTAAAACTCATAAGATAAGATCCAGTTTTTTTTAAGTGGTTTATCTATTTTGAACGTTATTTGAAAAGCGAATTGATATTTCAAATTGACAGTGTGAATTAAATATATATATATATATATATATATTTATACTTCAAGGGAAGTAACTCTTAAGTTGAAACTCGTCCGACATCCTTAAAACAAACAATCCAAAGTGAAACATGGATGAATATAGACATTATTAGAAATTTTACTTCCTATTAAAGTAATGAACAACTAAAACCGTGGAATCATTTGAACGAGGACGAGATAAGCGATCTCCTATGCGTGGAAACAGTATTGCTTTGAGCCAGCATTATATCGATCAGTGTGTGTAATAAGTAAATGATAAGGCATACAATGAACATTTAGTGAATATTGCTTAGGCTGACGTGTGTTTTTTAAGCAGTAGATGAATTGCGCCAATAACAATTATATCAATCTGTATCACTTTTCAGAACGCCTCTGTTTAGACATGTTACAATATTCCATAATTAGATTCCTTCGGGTAGCCTGCTCTTATTTTCAAACTGTCGAGGGATATTTAACGTGCAGTGGCTGTAACACACACACGCGGGATTTCGATTTAATGTACGATTCAATCGACTAAATTAGTTCCTTGGACCTGCATTTCTCACATGGAGGGAAACCAATTTGAAAATTTGACGGTGTTATCTCGACATATTCCGGAATGGAAGCCATACCTTCTCAATTTCCTAGAGTTAAAGCGTCTAACTCACCGCGATTCGAAACATTTTAAGAAGGGTCAAAACGCGCTAGTAAAATGAGATAACTCGTTCGGCGACTAGGTTAGTATATCAGATATTCCTGTCGAGCAATCAAAATAGTTCATTATGATCAGTGTAATGCTGAAAAAGAAAAATCAGGGCATTGGTCAATAATCACCATTCAATTAAGACATAGACTGACGTCAAGACTCGAAGGTGAAAAGGTCAAAACATAAATAACACAATTTAGACACTGATTTCTAGTAAATATTCGTATATTGATGAATGGACAGATATAACAATTATTCATATGACTCTACTTCAATAACATGTTAATAAAAGAAAATAATGTCTCTATGAAAGAATTCGGTATGCGAACATGTGAACTAAAAACTCAAGAATCCATGACCGACGTAAATAGGTGAAGAATTAGAACTGTGTCACCACTAACCCTTTTCGCACTGCAGAAGTAATTCTTTTCTATCCGAATTATAACAGTTGCTTTCCCATTGACGAACTACCCATATTAATCCACCCACTAGTTACTGCAATAAGAGTCAATTAATGACAGCGCAAAACAAAAAAAGAACTGATGTGGTATCATGTTAAGGTATCACAGAAACCCAAGTAGTAACGTACTACTCTCGAGAAGAATTATAAAAAAAGTATACATGCAATATTGTATACGCCTTAACGTCTTAATTAACACATTAGCATTGCAAGTTCCCATATGGGCAAATACAGTAGTATGTTCTTAAAGGGGCATTTTTTTCAACCACTAAATTTCAATCTTAATATCGTAGATTTGTGTTGAAATTTTCAACTGGAATTTGCAGCAAGCTGCAATTCAATACAACGTATCTTGCTAGAATTAATAAAGAACATAATGATCAAAATCACATTAGATCTCCATTGCTATCATCGAACTAATTTTGTTAAATTATGGGCAATAATTTTATATTCACTTATATTGCAAATGAAGATTTCTCAAACCCTAGCCTACTACGTCATGTGGAATGCAATATAATGGCCAACAAAAGTTGTTGTCAACAATATTCAGTTTATTCCCGAATAATAACCAAAGGAAGAAAATGGGGCATATTATTGGGTAAAATGGTGTCTTATGAATATAATTGTGTCTTATGAATTTGTATCATTAACTTAAAAGGCAAAAACTCGTACGCTGTTAAAGGCACATAATGTCATGTCATGTACCTCGTCAAATTTTGCGTAGATGTCATGTTTGTCCCAGAAAATTTCATCGTCAGAAAGACAAAGCGTCATTATCGAATCACATTAATTTTACTATCAATTGCCTGATCTTCATAGTGGATAACGACCGACTGAAGATACTTTACCAAAAATCGCAGACCATGACCGCACCTTAAGCAACTTCAGAATGGTCAAGATATTATTTCTCATCTTATGCCTTGACATAAGGTCCATTTTCTTGTTTCACTGTCAGCGCTTTGATTGGATTAAATCTAAATACAACCAATAAGCGATCTCGAATCCAGACATAGTCTTTCTGTCGAGGACTCAAATTGGTTATATTTGCTAGCGTACAATCCATTTAAATTGCTGCATTCCAAACTTCTGAATAAAAAAGAAAGTGGGTCATTGCAGTCCAGTTATAAGATGAAGACGTAATACCTTGAACATTTGACTGCAAAGACCACCCTTCTTTTCTGTAGGTCAGATTTCAATTACAAGCAGAATGTCACCTTTTTCAAGTAACTGAGTATGGAAAATTAATTGTGAATTTTTACATTAACAAGTATATGAAAAAGGAAAAAGATTACTTAAATTAGTACTCTGGCATTTTGGCATATCGATTGAAAGCTCAAGTACTTCCGATCCAACCGCTATACGAAATCCAAAACAACATACACATATAGTCGACACATTTAAGATCTTGACTGAATAAAAATCTATCATGAATGGAATTTTTTCAGATATTAGTTATTTAATGTCCGTCTAAAATGGTTATCACGTATCAGTATGTGCTAAAGCTATGAAGGCAATATCAATATCCAATGAAGACAAAAAAAAAAAAAAAAAAAAAGAACGCTTGCTCGAATTGCTTTCGAAGATCAATTTTTCAAATTCATTATCATTACTTTACATATAATTTATACAGTGAAAAATGAATGGTTGGAAAATGGAGTCATTTACATTAGAACGTGAGCATAACCAGTATGCAGCTGCCTCTTAAATAATGAAAACTATCCACCCGGTCAACTCCGTCTGTAAACCGGATCTTATTATACACCGAATGTGTTGCCTTGTCTGAAGAACTGAAATGCTTTTTTGATTGGAGTAAATCTATTTAAAATCGCCAAGATACATAGCATTATATTAGATGGTTACTATAAATCACCTTGACACTCTTACATTATATGATGTTAAGTGTTTACAAGTCTTAAGTAGTCCGCTAACCCATTTTACAAAGAAAGGGTTATTTTGATGATCTCTTGTGCGTCGTCACAGACACAAAGCTAAATACAGTAAATGAGGTCACATTCTGCAGTTTCTAAAGACCCGGATCCCAAACTAGATCAAGTGTGATTTCTAGCTTTCTGATTGGTTTCTAAGGATGCCGCTTTGGGTATAAATATAGACATAGTCTGCGATGTTATTCCAATATCAAATCACCTGATAATCAAGATGATCAAGATACTTTTGGTAAGTTACAAATTTTTCATAAGACTTTTTATTAACAGGTGGAATTGTAGTTTTTGGTATTATTTCCCTCGGTTTATGATACAAAAGAGCGATTTTACTATTAGAATCAAATGAGATAAAAGAATTCAAAATCTAACCACAATTTGATTTGTTTTTACAGATAGCCGTGTTCGTTGTGGCTTGTAATGCCCAAGAGAAAGAGAGAGTTGCTGCTGACCTCTCTCTTGCTCCTGTTCCTATTCTTCCCGTCTGTTACGGACTGAAGGCAGCTCCGGCTGAAGAATTAGATGCATCATTAGCAGTGGAAAAGTCTTCTGAGCCTGATTTGACGGAGGAGGAGGCCGCTAAACTTCTAGGCGCGAATGACGTTGCTACTGAAGTAGCCTCTAAAGCGTAAGTTATTTGTTACAGTATTCGTTACGTTTAATTTGTAAGTTCACTTAAAGTTTCAAATATGCGATCGAAGTTGATAGTTAGTACTTGGTTTTTTTATTGACTAAAAAGAAAACATTTTAGTAAATTAAGAATAAACTGCACATTTTCCTTGTCAAAACAATTCGCTGGATACTCATAAGCTATATGTGACGTTTCTGAATGTATCGAGTAAACTTGTTGTTTTAACCTTATAGAAAAAGATCTGTAGAAGACAATGGAGCTGCCGAAGCAAGGACTGCACTGAGTAAAGCTTCCGGAAGTATTATCCTTCCCAAATTACCATGGATACCTAAGTAAGTTCAAAGTCTTATATTGATATATTTTGAGAATCATGTTCTCTGACCAATGAACTAATTTATTTCTTCGGATATAAATTCCTGAGAAATGTCAAAAGTGTCAAAACCATACCGATAATGTTCTTGTTAATTTTAGAATTACGGTCCAATAACGATGAGTCGGATTTTCAATCATTCTATACAATAATGTTGTTAGCTACCGATTCGAGACACAACCATCTACTAACTTTCTCCGATGAACAAAAGTCACTTTACATCCAACATTCAGACAGGAATGTCAAGCACATGTTTCGTGAAATTCGAGATAAGTTCCTTCTCCATCTGAGACAAATTGAGGGTTGCTCTTTAATTGTTGATTTTATTACAGTCCATGTCCACCATTGCTGACAACTACATCAGCTGGACAAGAATTATGTCCATCTTATCAACAACTTTACACAAGATTTTGGAGTTCAAACGGAAATGGTTTATGTTATGTTCTTTTCCCAAAGTGGCAACGTGTTTATCAAACCAGATGCAAGTAAGTTAATCTAAAGATTAATTTTTAACAATATATGCAAGTCATTACCCAGCAGATAGGCACATAGGAACATACGTCCACAGCCGAAATCTTCTTATTGCCTTTTAAAGGGATAGTTAGGTACTCAAAAGGTTTGATAGCTAATCAAAATATTAGCATTAGCTTAGTCCCAATGGAAAAAACTTTCTGTGAATGTACTTTCATATTAGGTATTAATATTGGGTGTTTATTTCAGATGCAAAACCTGCAGAAACAGCTGCCCTTACTACATTTTCTACAAACCAGGTTCTCTAAGATTCAGGAATTACTGTAAACCAAGAAGCCGACGAACACGATACATTTGGGCATTATGTAGAACAAACAACTTCTTCCGATTCGTTCGTGAACGAATAACTCAGTATTCTGGTGGTTGCGAATGCCGAGCCTACAGAACATGTTATTAAAACATGACGATGGTTGAGTCGGTAAAATCCTGAATAATTCCATAAGATAAACACTATAACTGCTTTTGTATTCAAAATATCGAAAATATGTAAATGTACTTTTAATGTATTTGCCGATTATAACGATTACTACGTACTGTTTGCTAAATAAACATTATGAAATTCAAACAATTTTTTTTCTCAAAATGTAAATAAATGAACCAGTTCAAAGCTTGCCTGGGATGGGATGGCATGGTAATGCGTACGGTCGTTCAGGTGAACTGTGATCTGCACGCTTGTTAATACTGCACGCTCATTAATCCTCAATAGTTTAAGATATTAAGAAATATTAGGATAATGCACATGTCATTGCAAATCTTATTGCACCTTTAAGGGCATTGTCTGTTTCACAAGACTGTGCAGATACAACTATTTTTCGGGTCAAATCAAGATCAAATTCCCCTCCATGGAGCAGTTTATAAGGTCCACTTATATTTTCGAAAGTGACATCCACATCCCACAGTTCTCCTGATGTATCGGCAATCGGATAATAGCTTTAATAGTCAATGGAATTTAGAGCTATCATACAGGCTACACAATTTAAAATTAAATAATATCAATTACCAGGTGTGCTCTTCGTGATATATGTGAAAGTTTAAGAGAAAACCAAAAATCTTATTTATAATGTCTTCATTTTTTATGAAGTTAAATTACGAGTACTCTCTCCATCGAATGTAGGCCAGTGGCTAACCACAATTCTACAACATTTTTTGTCCCCGAACTAACAGCATCTGTGAATCATGAAATGTTTCAGCAGTTGACCAAAATATCCTTCTGTACTGATTAATGTTGTCACACCGATTCTTCAGAACAATCAATTAAAATATCATTACATGGTGATCTAATTTAATTGTATTTAAAGCCGAACGAAAGAATACAAAAGTCTCAAAGTCAGTAGGAAAATTCATGGACAGGACAAAATCGGGTGAAGAAACAATCGGTAAACAACATTCCGGAAATGAATCTAAATTAAAGTGGACCTCTTGAGAGAGGTAGTATTAGGAGTTCTATAAAATACACAATGTATTGATATTATTTTGATTTATACTTCAAGGGAAGTAACTCTTGAAACATGGATAAATAATGAAATTATAAAAAAAATATTAAAGAAAGTCATACTCTAATCGCAACTAATTTTCTGCAGAATTTTAAGCTTTCAAACTCGAAAAGTGATATGGCCTGAGCCACCAGATGAGAAATTTAGCGATGTTCGATTCAAACAGTGCGTTAACGTTCAAGCAATTTTTTTAAGGATTTGATTCCACCCAATTTTATGGGTAATTGTGTAATTGGCCTTGTGGGATTATAAGTATAACGTAATACGGTTCATTGTCTTGTATATCATCACTGAAGTTAGTCAGCACAGGTTCTTCGAAAAATCCAAGGGTAACCAGGTCAACATTTGTCTGTCTTTTTTGTAAGGGAAAATAAGCCGAGGACCTACGGAATTCACGTTTGGTAACTAAACGCAAAGAAAAGTATGATTACACCACTGTCATTGCAAATTGCCCCTTATTTCACAACACAAAGCGCTGTCTTCATTGACAACATTAGAAACAGAAAAGTAGATTACTAACATTGATCTAATTATCTTCATTTCTGGGATTTTTATAGGATATCATCGTTTTCCGATTTGTATTATAACTATCTTGAGTGGAGCTTGACCTTGTTTTTAAATTAAATGAAGCCGTAATGAAGTGTTGAGTTAAGACAAAAAGAGATAAATAGCAAATATTTTTTATTATAGAAAATAAATATAATGAGTAGTGAATATTTTTTAATTAGGATTAATCAATTATAATCCTTTTCTCTTGTAATTTGTTCGCCCCATTTTTATTAAAACAAATTCAAGGGTACTTTTCTTTTTGGCACCATTTTTTAATATGGAAAATTGAACTTGTTTGTCAAAAAAAAAATCTGACATTACGTTATTTGTAAGGTCGATACATATTTTCTGTGACAGTCACATCGCTCATATTGTCAATTTGTATTCCGATTAAAACTGCAATAAATTGGGTTGTCTCAGAACGCCAAGGTCGAATATCAAATTTAATCATATATAGAAAATAGAACACCAGCTACTGGTGGTAACTGTTGACATATTATATATACGTGTCGAATGATTATGAAATGACATTATAATTATACTATTATGATTGCAATATTGGAAAAACACTAAATATATAATTGTATTATGTATTGAGCAATTTTCTGATATCAGGTATATACACATTGCACGTATTGTATTGTGTAGAACATAACACACGTGTTATTCCTTACGCAATTTGAACCATAATCGTGTCACGAAAATATGCAACCCATCAATAAATCATACCAATAATAAGTTAAATAAGTATTATTGTATGTAGCTTAAGAAAGGATATAAAGTAAAAATCAATAAATTTTCTACTGTCATATATCAGAAGGACAACATCCATTATTTGGTCAATGCATGCTCATTATAAACCGTTACGACGGGATATAGTCTTCAAGATTTTTGGAACTGTCGGGTCCAGAGTTTAACATTCTTTCGTGCAGATACAACTGCCTCCACGTCATTATTTCGATAATAAAAGCCCAAGAGAATGTTGAAAAAGAACTCTGGCTTTAGTCTTTTCTGTAATAACGCTTTGATTAAGTTGTGGACGACCCAGGCCGAGCTTTCTGAAACTCGGTCTCTATTTGTTATTTTGAATTTGTAATATCTCCATCCAAAAACGATATCTACCTCGTGCAATTAAGTGGGATCAACTTTACTCCATGAAATAGAAATTTTAAATTTATTTTTTACGTTGATTAAAATGATATACAAAATTATTTACGATGCCATTATCAACTGCTTTTTGCTTTTCCATTTAGACGTACACCTCCAGATACATTCGGCAACCAGTATTCCTAATGCAATGGACACTCCAATTCCCAGAGCAGCGAACGCTCCTTTGATGTCCTCCAAAAACATGGCTCTGATAGTCTCTGTGGTTAGACACTCACGTGGACGTTGGTCCTTATAATACATTTTTTCCCACAGTTCTAACACCCCACTATCAAACAAATGGAACAAAAATCTCTGAATATCAATTCTATATGGAGAGTTTTCAGACACGGCTAATGCCACATGCTGCGTTTGTACAATACCCGTTACTGTATCAAATGCACAGTCATTCCGGCGTAACATAAAAAGAACCGGATCTAAGGTAATATAAGCATATTTCCCACCAAGAGCCTTTTGTATATGTTCAGCGCCCGAGGTCGAAAGAACACTTGGATCGGTTTTATTAAATTCTTCAATTTTACTCCAAGTCTTTTGAAAATCTCCTCTTTTCGTATGTTGCAATATAGTAGCAGAAAGAGTAGATGGGTGAACTCCCCATTTCCAATCCTCAAGTTCAACCAGTTCAGCTAAAGTACTAAAAGGTTTATTCTCACGACGAACGGTTAAGGAAGCAGTGAGATTTCCTGAGTATGTTGCCGCCATAACGACACAAAATAACCACAAAGCGAATGTTAACAAACGTCCTGCACATGTTCGAGGTCTTAGACCATCACTTCCAAGAAAAGAACAACCTATGACGGATACAAATAAATTCGACACATTCCAAATTTCCATTTTAAGACTTTTTGGAGGAGGTTGTGCTTGTTGGTTCAAAGGATTTGATCTCTCCATAACATACATGAGGAGAGAAAAGCCCACAGTCGCAGCAAGAATTGTGTAGTAAACTGTACTTTGAAGCGGTTGTAATATGTTCATCCATCCTTTATTGGATGTATCATCTTTTTGGAAGACTAGGCCAAGTCCTTGGGTAAAAAATTGGGGCAGCACGAAGTCGACTACCGATTCACGTTCAGTTGTAAGTGTTAATTCAGCAACTGCCATGTCGACCTCCCTCCGGAGAAGTTGTCCTACTAGACCGTCCCAAGAACCGTTCACAAAGTTACCCCATTGATTGTCCTCGGGTTCGACGAATTCATACGTAAAATTAAGATATAAGGACATGGCGTCCGAAAATGTTTTGGCATACCCTGAATAATACACCTTTCCGTCTTTCAAAGTTTTAATCAGAAACTCAGGTGACTGGTGTGTAGCTATCAGAAAGTGACGTCTATTGAATCCATATTTCATATTCGGATAAAGATTTGCTTTTGATACGGAAGGAACGTGGACAAACTTTTTATTATCAAAACTTAAAGTGAAAATTATAGTGCCAGTTTCAGAGCTGTTTATAATTGCTACATTTTCTATGATTAGTTCTTCTGGATTCAGTACAGAGTAAACACAGATATCGGTGGTCGGAACGACCACCCACTGAGCTTTATGCCTGTAATCAGTTGTCCGATTAGATTGCACATCAATCTGATTTGCATAGTTCAGCATGTCGAGCGCCCTTAAGCCACCAACAAGAACAATTGAAATGTTCGGAAAGAAATTCTGGTTTATTGTTAATAACAAATCATTTTCTTTTCCAATCCAGTCAGAAACATCGTAGAATGACGCTTGCACATTCTTAACATTTAATTCAAATTTTTCATAAACCCGTAGAATAAAATCCACACTTTTGTCATCATACATAATAACCAACGTGGGCCATTTCAACATGTCGTTTATCCGGATTATTGTATCTATCACGTCGTCACTCTTTGGATTAAGGTTAACACTACGAGCTCCAGTAGTCGCTTTAGTTGGAACATCGCTATCACCTGAACACAAGCGTTTCAAAGAGGATGAAACAAGGAAACTAAGTAAAATATAAAAGAGTTGACGGATCATAATGACTTTTCCATCGAAGGACACTCATAAACTGTGACATTCTATGCACCAGAGTGTGTTTATTGATAAGCATCGATCATTTTCTTAGAGGAGTGTCGTGACCGTCCCAGTTCATCATATTCTGAAACGGTCTCAAGTTGATTACACCACATCAGAATAAACATAAAAAACGCAACAAATGCTTTTAAGAAATTACGAGTGACAATAGTTTCCAGATAAAACACAATCATGGAAATGGGAGAACACAATGAAAATCAAATGCATATAAATTGTTTTCAAACGCTGTTATCGCAAAACGAGAATAAAACCCCACATATATCAGAAACTTACTGAACGAATCCCGGATTTGACTGAAAAGGTATCGGTGTTCATACTTAAACGTGTTTATCGATGTATCAAATCCAACAAATTTTACTTATTTGTTAATCAATACCTTCCATTTTTAACTGGATAAAACGGTCTAAAAATGTGTCAAAATAATGATTGTTCGGGTTTGGATATAATGGAAGCGATACCTTTCTTTATTTAAATCACCTTTTAAGTCATGATTTTATTCCGAGATTTAAATCAGAAGCTAACGACTGAACACAATTGTTTTATCGATCGTGTTGTTATTAATTGCAATCAAACTCGACCACACAATAACTTCAATACCTATCAGCGATTTCAGGTTTTATTCACACTGTGTTCCAAATGTCACATGAATAATATATACCATAAGCCAACAATAAAAAAGATTACAATCGGTCATATCCAATCATGTAATTTGCTGATGTGTCTTGACTCAACCTGAAATGACATAAGTATAAGACAGAGAGATCTTCCTTGAACAACTGAATAATAGGGGCTCTGTTTCAAAACATTAAAAGGTACTTTTTAAAATCCGTATTCTCGACAAGATTGTGTTTTTTGTGAACTTAACGTTTACAGGGTCGTTCTAATTCAATCATACAAGTAGTCCAAAGAACAGCTCAATTTTTACCAATTATGTTGGAATGGATCGGAAAATATTGAATAAAAAAGAGAATCTCGTATATGCTCTCTTGGATTTAAAAAAAAGTATATATATTCCAGAGAAGGGAAGCTAAGAGAAATTTCGATCCAGGCCATAATTGAATACCAGAAGGTGATTACAGTACATTTACTGACATCGTATGTTTAATTTTGATAACTTAAATTGATAGTGTTTACTTTATAATGTGAGTAATAATTGTTTAGTGGTGTTAAGTTAGATATCGATCACCAGATGTTACAGTTATACATTCATGATACATAATTCCCAGTTAACGATATGTTCATAATGTGGACCTATAAAATATCACCCTGCAATGCAGTTTCAAACCAATTATAAAGAGCCTTTTGTTTTGACATCTAGACAGCCCGAGAGAATAGAAAGTCAACAGATTTTTTTTGAGCAGGTTGATCTTTCCTGAGAGGTCCTGACTAGATGTAAAATCATTATCCAAATCCAGGCAAGTAAACGATTTGAACATAATAATACTTACCAAAATAAGATATGACATCATAAATACAGCTTTGATCGAAATTCGAAGCAATTTGACAGACCTATAGCCCTACCAAAACTTTTCAAGTAAAAGCGATCGACACTGCAAAAAACATATTGAAATAATACAACAGTGTTAAACAAATTTACATGTTATTGTTAATTTATGATTTCTTTGATATTCACTTAGTTTTGTAACTCAATTTTTATAAATACTATTATTGGTTATAACAGATCTAACTAAATATATAACGAACCGTTTAAATTTCATTTCACTAACACTTACATAATTAAATTAGTTTTGATTTAATTCATATTTCATACCTAGAAAATTATATACTACCTGCCAAGGCTGTATATAATGAATTAATCCATACTGTAAGTTACATCTTGATAAAATCATACGCCATTACAATAAAATTTCAATCGGTGAAATTGACAAAAGCAGTCGATATCCTGTCATGAACGTAAATGAGCTTAACGTTAATAAAAATAAGAACTTTCGTTTTGCGATTCTGTGATGCGTCCAAAGCTCTTCCAATCCTATCAATAACATTAATTTGACCATAAAATGTATTTCCTCAGTCAGCAATGTTGAGAATAAATTCAGATTTATTAATGATAAAATTGTATCATATTCAAAGAAATATCTTTTGCTCATAGAAATAATGCAAATATGGAATATTTATTTTAAGCTTAAAAACCTCATGGTTAGTTATACGCATCACTTTTTCGTATATAAATCTGCTTTTAAGTTTAATTTTTTTTAAAATTGACAACTTCGAGTGTATCAGTTTAACTTAAACATTAAGTAACTTGCATACTTACAATATGAACTGATGAAATCCTTAGTTAAGTACTCCAGAATGACTCTTGGATTAAAACTGGATTAAATTTTTTAAAAGAAATGAAAAAAGTGGGTAGTTCGTCGTCGAAACATTTCTATTACATACTACATAACTATCTTACCTGACATTTCATTAAATAACATAACGATATACTACTACTCCTTGGTTTTATTGAACACAACGCTTCAACAATTTACATTGTCAGCATCATATGCAAATGATTTGAAATATGAACGACAATTTTCCTTCGGATTTACGGTTGAACAACATGTCTACTTTGAAAAATCTAGTTCTACAATTACAACACACAACTGTCACTGTAGACTATTTCCAATTAACTGATTTATCAACATTGTCAAACTTCGATCAGTCATAACACATTTATCTTGAAGCCTTCCTGCAGTGGAAAATCAGGTGTTCATGGATGTTGCGACAAACCGGGTTATATAAATAAATAACCATTGGTTATAGTTGCCAAGCGGGTTATAAAGCTAATTCCAAATATTATACTAGTTGTAAATCTGTGTTGTCTGAATGCATGTGTTCAAATCAAATGAACGCGAACCCGGATTATTAGTTGAGAGTATTGGACCGCACAAACTAAGACACTCTGACGTCTGGAAAAATTACTTTGATCTGGAACTAGCACTCTATCTTTTCAAGGCTTTAGACGTAGTATGCCTTGACATATGACAAAAATATAAAACGTATATTGTACATTGTATTATTACGAACACTTACGTTCTGTTCTAAAACTCCTCTGTATTACTCGACCGAAAACAATCGAATGAACTGTTAATGTTAGAGGTATTGTCGTAATGATTTTGCTTTTGATACGGATATTTTGAACGATACCTGTCCTTATTTCAACAACTACTCGAAATATACTATGAACATACTTAGCTTCAGTCTAAGTATTTGCTTAGTTCCCCGTTTCTTCCATCTCCACAATATCACTCTATTCATGATTTTCATGATAATAGGTAATTGTTTTCCAATAGTTAGATTTGTCCCAAGGGTCTTCCATACTTGAACTGAATTGAATCATACAATTAATTTATTTGACGACTCTTTTCGACACTAAACACTGAATTGATCTAATTTTACAAATTCACTTTAGCCAGCCAGTTTCGAATCATTCAGAAAAGCGATTTTTAAGCCACGTAATTTCGATTTCAGCAGGATTTCGTAAAGTCAAAGATGGCATATAAATGAGTCTGTGCGTATCCTACATTGACTCGTCTTTGTCAAAAAGGATTAAATCAGTAAACATCTATAGTTTTTGTATAGAAAAGAGATTTTTCTCATTTCTGACTGTACAGCAGTGCACATCTGAATGAATGGTTTCTGTTTCGAAACCTATCGAACGCCCGAAAAAGAAGGACATACAGCTCCATTTACCAAACTTACATACAAAAAATGGCAACAATTCTGAAATGAAAAATAATTAGTATGCGATATTCCATTGTCTCGTTTAAGAAGAAAATCAACTCTAGACACTTAAAAACGTTCGTTAATCTGAATATAATTATTGTCTGAAGACGCAAAAGGAAAAGATAAAGAAACTCAGTTGAAATGAGATCACTTTATGATCGATTTGAACTACACCTTGGGCTGTTATCAATTTTAGTCCATACTCAAGAAAATAATGAACAAACGAATGCTGATAAGAACACTACTTAGGAAAGAAGCAATTGTTTGATTCGTGTCTAAGTATTGTTGATATGTTTGCATTACTAAACCAAGTAGTCCATTAAAGACTCGCGTATGCTATTGGAAATCGATGGTACTTTGATGAAAATATACCTAACACTTACCATACAAGGTCAACAAAAATGAAAGAAGAGCACGTATTTATGTCCCACAAAATCTTTGATGCCAAGAATAAATAATTGTTCGCTGAGAAGTACAAATCATTCAACATGCATACAATTGAATGATGTCGTAAACTTGTGTACATTCCAAAAAAAATCCTTAATGATCTGTTTCAGTAAGAAATTACATAATACACCAGATGGGATCAAAATCCGGAGACCCAGTATGCTTCAGGCTATGTTGGTTGACGATCTGGAAATCGACAATGATTTTGCCCATGCCGCCGTCTTAATATTGCACAAGGATGTTATCAAATGGCTATTTTCTGAATTTAAAATGTGCAAAACAACCGGAATGGTTCGTCTTACTAAAGGTAATAATCTTCTTCCAAATAAACGTACTTATCTATGACAAAAACCACGACTGTGACGAGCAATCAAATTTAAACATCGTAAGAGCCACCATAAACATTGGGTTTTTTTTTTCATATCAGATAATGCCCTTTGAGAATAATGCTCTGCTTTTTATTGCTCCGTTGTAAATCGAGACACAAATAAAGAATATACACGAACTGAATAGAAATCAATTTCTATTCCTAAGGTTAAAATAACAGCTACGATGCAGTTTTCTAGTAGACAGTTCACTATCGAACTTTTATTTCCGGTAAGAATCATATTCTTCAAATATGGACGTTGTATGTAAAGGCGGAGTGTTTATTGTCAATCCAAGGAGATGTCTATTAAGCAAACACTTGCATATTGGATTGCAAAACGTCTAATTTAAGAATTCGGAGATTTCTGTTGATTAAATTGATTTACATTGATCTATTTAGGGGAAAATATTTAATTTAGAAAATAGAATTGGTCTTTATTTATATACGAAGTGTAAGACACGCTAAGTCCATAGTATACAACTAACGTCCTCCATTGTCTGTCATGCCTAAAACAGAACGCTACACCAGATTCCACAAAGATTAGTATACTCTCAATAGTAACAAAAATTATCCAGGACTCAGTCGATGGAAATTTACAATTACATGCATGAAAAATATACAAGTACATGTATGTACATAATTACTTCATGGAATGAACCCCCTATGGAAATAGTAAAAAATAGCTTGATTGATATAGCTGATGAAGTCAACCTTCATCCATCGTTGCACATGATTCATCTCATTAGAACCTTATGTGCAGTATTTTTCGAAATGAAGCAATTTCTTTCAAACATCGCAGCATTAGAAATCTGCAGGTAGCCGTTCACTACGTGTTATTATTTACTTTCATTCAATATCCCGGCAAGATGTAAGTGGTGCGTACGAAATCAGAGTGCTCTTTTCTCATCTGAAGTGTTTTCTCAAAACATTTTGAGCGTCGAATTAATTCTTTACAGAGCCACTGAAAATTGTAATGGTGCAAATTTATGCTATCGGTGACTCGATACTTAAAAAAAGATTAAGAAAACTTCTGTGGAATCCATTTAATGTTACAGAAATGAAAAAAGTCACGAAACAGCGCCCTACCCAGAACTAAATATGTATGGCTGCTCCAACAGTTGGTCCATGTGACTGACCAAGATGTCACGCCAGTAAAACTAATTGACCAAAGGGTAGAAGTGAAGTCTTTCAGGAATTATCATGTAACTAGTGACACTATAGCATAGATTTAAGTTTCTGTTCAAACACAATTACCATCTGAAACCCCTTGGAGCAGCCATTTGACATTCTCTGCTATATCGCAACCAGACCATATCAACAAATAATCAGTCCCTTGGGCCAAAACACTTTCATGTTTAGCGTATTTTTTGCCAACAGAAACATCTTAAGCCAATTTCTATTTACCTAGACCACCTATAGTCTGACAACTCCGCCATTGTACATACGTTATGCCTTGCCTTGACTTGCTCGAAGATCCTTAATGATCCTTGTTTTTATTCAACGTACTTAACACATTTACCGTCTTGATAAGCCAAAACTGTGTGTAAAAGATTGAATTCGACCATTGTTTAATCAAAGTAAATTATTATGAACTTTTTCATCAAATGCTTCACAGGCGTAAAATCAATCAAGCTTACCGATGTTACTTTCACTTTTAGGAGAAAAAACGCACCCCCATTTCATTTCAGATAGGCCCTGGTAAACTAATTTCAAATTTACAGAGTTAAATCTTAAGAAGAAGGACATTCAATGATATGTGTGTCACGTTTCCCGCTTGATATCATTTTCACATCAAAAGAAAACAGAAAATATTATTAACCTAATAGTTTTGAAATAAAACACGAAAAGATAATGAAGATAGATATCATTTCACACACAAAGTTTACTTAAACAATAGCTTGTAATGGTTACAACTCTTTGATTTATTATTGTAAATATTTGAACGTTTGAAGTTTCCAAAGTGAGTTATTGTTTGTTTTTTAGAAGTAATATTTCATGTTCTACATTAAGGTGTTTTCCTTTTTGAAAACATATTGCTATGTATAGGTCACAGATTTCACACGATGTTTTCATACCATAATATTTGCCAAAGGAATTAATTTTTTTTTTTGCATTATCGTGTCAATTAGCAAGCAGAATTTGACAGCTGTCTACAAAGAAAACACCGAAAATGCACCATTGTGTGTGCAATCCGTTCGAGTAGTCATTCAATGAGTACTGTTTCTTCGAAGAAAAACTTGATATCAAGCTTTTTTGTTTCTCCTTTGTAGACGGTGGTATTTTGAAAATCTATACTCTCCTACTGACTGACGTTGGCGGTTAGTTTGATAGACGGGTCGTGGTTGTTGAGAATTTCGAAAAATTTCATAACTGTTAGAATATGCCCAATTGGACATAAAGACGACACATCGATCGAAAAAAGCATTTTGTGACGACAGTACCTGTTGTTCAACTTCGATAATATTGAGTACAGACCGCATGATGATGAAGACCTTGTATCGATGTAAATTTGAATTGACAGACGTTTGTGTATCTAACGTGGTTTGTTACATTGTAATATCAATTTGAATTTATTCATTCAATGATTTGACCTATATTTTTAATTCCATAAAACAATACTACAATGATGTTTTGTTGTGCTACTTTATAAATAGTCCGAGAAGCTAAACCTTACATCGAAGGCTCGAACTCGAAATTGATCAAATAACAAAAGCGTTTTAAGCTGTTCGCTGACACGTCTTTGAAAGATGACCGGACACGGACGCAAAGTCTTTATTAGCATAGAAATATTTTAAACTTTGTTTTTGACAGTGGTTTAATAAATGCGGTGAACACAATACTAGTCTTGATTATGGACTACAGTAATATTAAAATTACTCC